TTCCTCCAACTTACAGAGCTAGTCCACTTCACCACCAATGACTAGTTCTGTGAGAGGCCTAAAAGATGCCCTGCTGGTGCCCTAAGGTTTTACCAGCTGGTGGTTCTGGTACTTCTCCTTATCTTTCCTCTGACATGATGAATCCTTTAAGTGCCCTATGAAGTGAATCTGGCCCATCAGAGCCTTGAGGCTTGTCAGCCTGTGAGTGGGGCAGTCCTTGGATGGGAGGGAGAGGACTGCTGTCTGGAATTAAGGCAGTAACATGAACATGCCTGAATGGGAACAGAGAGAGAGGAGGGGTTTTTTCTAGCTTTCCACACCAGGAGCCTTTCATTTTCGTGCCCATTAAACATGACCCGACTTTAATTGTATTTGCAAGCTCCTCAACCAGACCTCATTTTCAAATTAGGGTTTTGTAATTCTTTCCCACAATGCTTGATTTAGCATTGGCTGGCTGTAATATCAGAGCAGTAGCTTTCCATTTTTATTGTTCGCCTAATTTTGTTTGCACGATTTCATATTTTGTCTGTAGAAAGTACATTTAGGGAAAACCAGGCGTGGTCATTTGGAACGAGTTTTGGAACTTTCCATTTATTATTGCCCACGTTACCATCTCATTTACCTAAATTTGCATGTTTGTTGGATCACAGCACTGGTTAATCTGCAAAAGCAATTATATAAACACGCTGACATTTTAAATAGGGTTAACAAAACCTGTCCAGGTAATGGAAGGGATAATAAACTAATGATGACTTGATGAACTAACTAGACTACTTTATTTGCCCATCAGTTTTCTTAACCACTTATCCAACCACAGTCAATTAACCCAATCCCAATTATTATATATGGCAAATGGCAGGATCCAAACTGGACAGGTCACCAGTCCATTACAGGGCTAAAGGCTAATTTAGCCATCCTTTAATTATCTCTGCACCGTATTGATTGGGAATTGTGGGGAAGTGATATAGTGATATGTACAGTGGTTCCTCGCTATAACGCAGTTCATTTTTCGCAGCCTCGCTGTTTCGCAGACTTTTTGGGGGGGGGTCCAATTTTGCATTTTTGTTTGGGTTTTTTTTTTTTACAGCGCATTGTGTTCTGCATCCTAATTGGCTGTAGACCAGTCGATGAATCTCATACCGTGTTTCCTGTACAGTACAGAATGCATTCAGCTTGTCAAATTAACATAAATCTTCGCTAGCAGAAGACGACAAACACAACAGTGTCGATGTCAAAGCACCCAAAAGGCAGAGAAAGATGCTAACCATCACAGAAAAA